CGTCTTAGATGCAGAAGCGGATCTGGCTGAGCTTGCCGCTGGTTGGTTGGTATTTTCAAACCTGACAGGGCAATCCTTCATCATATGACCAGTCTTTCCACATCTAAAACAGACGCCCAAAGCTCGATAACAATCCCCCTTGTGTTTCCTACCACATTCCGAGCAAGTCGGTATAGTACCACTACTTTGGCTTGAGCTACTGTAAGATCCCGTGTTTCGCCTCTTATTCCTAGAAAATGAACGATCCTTTTTGAAACTGTTTCCATATCTTTTCCCCGTCCAATCAGTTTGTGGGGCAAGAGTTTGCTTCTTCGCTGCTAGAATGGACTCTGCCATTAATTCCCTATCCAAAACATTCACGTACGTGGGTAGGTTCAGGACTCCCACCCTATCCAGTATGTCCAGATCCAATCCACCCTCAAACTTGTGGGCCTTCTTGTAGTCTGTGTCCACCATGTGAGGAGCGAACTTGGCCAACTCAGTAAACTTAGCCTCGTACTCGGCTACAAACATTCTACCTTGTTTGAGTTCCTAGAATTCTGAAACCTTCCGGTCTCGGAAGCATTGGGGAAAGTACTTGTCACAGAAGATTGTATTGAATTGAGTCCACGTCAAATTCTCGTGGCCATTTCGAATCAGTAACCACCACCTTCGGGCTTCATCCTTCAGAGTATAGGTGGCTAGGAGGACTTTCTGGACTTCAGAACAAGGGAACACCTCATACAGTTTCTCCATTTTAAGTAACCACGTCTCTGCTTTCAACGGTTCAATTCCACCATACAATGTTGGTGGTTTCATTTTCATGAACTTCTGTGTCAAGTTGATGACGTCACCGGTGCCCATTTCAACTTGAGCCGGCAGGGGTAGAGGTGGTAAAGGTTGTTGCCTCTGTTGTTGCATTACCACTTCGGTTAAGGTTGCAAGCATTTGTTCCATTCTATTCATTTGGGCATCAGAGGACCCTACTGTGTCATCATTCCTTGCATTGTCCATTTGCTATAGGTAAACAAAACTTTATGTATTCCAATTCACATGTTTATACTTGAACTTATGCTTTTACTTTCGAACAATACACAGAAACATGCAGATGAAATGCCCCTACTTCTTACTAGGACTTCTTAAGCTCATATGGACCTGTGTGTGCGGTAGAACACGTGCTCTGATACTACTCTGTCACGACCCAAACCCGTCCTTGTAGGTTTAGCACCGTAACCGGCCAGTAATCCGTGGATTACCAAAGGCCTCTAAACAGATTAGCAAATAATAAGGGGTTGCGGAAGCAATAATACAAAATAGACAAGGTCCAATGAGCTGTGATGACATACATGTGACAAAAGATTTCAAAACTTATAAATATATACACAAGCGTGTCGGTCGGAGGACCTCAATATTTACAAAACATTTACATAAGTAGAGTTCCCAGGACCTGACTTTACAAACATTCAGAAACTAGCATAAGTAAAAAAACAGCCATGCAACTAGACTTCGATCGGAACCTCCTCGGGAGGCACAACGGTTGGCTGACAAAAACAGAACAGAAAGCCGTCAACTCTGGCCCTGGTCACACGCCGGCTCACCTACATACATAATATAAACTGTGAGCTAAAGCCCAATAAATAATAACAGAGTAAAGGATTTAATGAATGTTGTCCATCACAGAGTTAGAAATTAAATTCTTAACAGAGACAGATTCATATACATATTCATAATCATTTCCATATTCAGATTTCGCATATAATCATACGTGGTACATCCCTTAGCGTTAACAAATCCGATGGCCCATAAAGGGACGGCCTCGAAGGCATTCTAATGACTCATGTGCACAGAGACGTTTCTGATGACCCATAAAGGGACCTGATGAGCCATAAAGGGACGCATATCATATGATGCTAAGGATACCACGAATAACTTTCAGAATTTTGGACAACTATTCATTCATTTCAAACATAGCATGGCATTTCAGAGAACTAATTACCTCGTATCATAATATTCAAAAAATATTTAACATTAAACATAACTTTACAAAGTTATTACTCACAGATGATTGGTAGCCCTAACTAGATGGTAAGGCGACCTTTCACTTGTTCTGAGGCGTGTGACCTACATGAACACACATACGAACACACACTTGAAATATACGTTCGAATGTACATAACTTATGTCGTTTGCTCTTAGTGTGTTTCTAACCCCTTAATCCTCATTATGGAGTCTTAAACATGGCTTAGAAATGCCTAGGATGAAATGAGGATGCAAGAATGCGTTGGAAAATATTTCTCAAGATTTGCTGAAAATAAGGTCCACGCTCGAGTGTGGCTTTCCTCGCTCGAGCGGACATGCAGACAATGAAACCCCGCTCGAGTGTGGACTTCCCCGCTCGAGCGGACTGTAAACCTTGACAAAAGTACTGGATGCAAGTTTTTCACGCTCGACGGGCGCTCGACCTACGCTCGAGCGTGAGACTCAGAACCTCGCTCGAGCGTGGATTCCCTCGCTCGAGAGAACTGTAAAACACAAGAACTTCTGGGTATATGCATTTTACGCTCGAGCGTATACTTCCACGCTCGAGCGGAGTGCACGTACTCAGAGTTCACGCTCGAGCGTAAAGTTCCACGCTTGAGCGTGGATCAAATTTCTGGAAATTTCAGATTTGATCACCAAGCTCAAATTCGACCTTTGAAGCATCAAACTCAATTTTCTGGGCCCAAAACTTTGGAAAACACTTAATAACTCATAGAACAACATGTTTGAAAGATCAATTCAAGAAATCATGGCCCAAAAGGATATCAATTTTGCACAAACTCACTTAAATTCAAAATCAATTGATGAACATCACATGCAAGTACATTTTTTGAGCTAAGACTCTTCAAAACATGATCAAATGCTACTAAATCACATGAAACTCATTGTGTTTCCAAAATCAGAATAGACTCAACACATGCATGAAGGAATGCATGCATGCATGAATTCATTCTTAATTCCCAACCTTTAATTCAATTCACATGTTAATTCGCCTACATAACTAATTTCAAGCATTAATCAACTAAATTACAAGGCTAGAGACTAACATTCTTACCTAAAGTTCTCAATTCCTTATGGTTAGAGGTGTTCTTGAGCAAACCACCAAGGTCTCCTAGCAATTTCTCCCAATCCTCAAGCTTGATCCCAATTCCTTCCCTCTCTCACTTTCTCCCACGTTTTCTTCCTCTCAATGCTCAAGTGTGATGAAGAATGACTAAAGGAGGTGAGTGGGGCTAAATTAGCCTAATAGGTGGTCATTGACAAAATAAAACAAATAGCATTATTTTAATCAAATTTAATCGTTCCGAACCGAATTTTAATTAAGCCTACCATAAAATTCTATAAATTCTAACTAGCACATAAATCAAGTCAATTTCTGATTTGAATGCCGATAAGGCTTTCAATTCGCAAACTGAAACTAAATCGTGAACAGATCTTTCTACGCCTAACAGATATAAACACAACAATGCAACACACACACATGCATTTTAATTCAAGATTCAACTAAATTTCTAATTAGGCATAATTAATCATGGATTAGCGTTAATCAAAGGTTGGGGCTGTTACACATGGCCATCTCCTCCTGCCACCGTTGCAACCGCCACCTTCCTCTCTTGTCGTCACCATCGCTACCTCATTTCCCCCTCTCACAGCCTGCTACCATCTTCTCTTCTGTCACAACTACCTCATTTTCATCATTCTCCGCCACCACGAGTCCCTCTCCTATTGCGAATTTTCCTGCGAAGGAAGAAGAAGAAAAAGAATGGGGCAGTGATGGATCTAAGGGGGTGCGGCCGCACCCTCAAAAATTTGAAAAATATCATATATTATATTAAAAATTTTAAAAACACTTAAAATTAAAGGAGTTCGCATCCCCAATTTTTTTGTAGATAATTTCAAAATTATATAGAGTAGCTCTCAATTTTTTAAACGATAGAGTAGCCCTCCAAAGACATAATCTTGGATCTGCCTCTAGAAGGGGGCAGTGGGTTGTCAGCAAGCGGCAGAGACAGCGACAAATGGTTGACGACAGAGGTGGCTGGGAGGGGGTTGGTAATGGTGGGAATTGAGTTTGAAATTATTTAGGGTGTTTAAAGCAAAAAAAAAAAAAATCAAAATTTGAATTTAGAGCTGGTGTGTCTTAAGTAATGGGTATCCAACTTTAATTTTTTGGGTGCATTTAGAGTGTTTTTTTTTTTATCGGACGGGTGCATGTAGAGTCATCCAACTAAACCATTATGCTTATACTTTTTTATTTTTATTTTTATATATATAACCTTTTTTATTTTATATATATAAAATATCTATTTATATATTATTACTCTTATCTGTAGCTACTTTGTAAACCAGTAACAAAAAATGCTATATGTAAATGATTTTCTTTACCTGATTTTCTAACCACTAGCACAAAAGCATGGGTTCCAATTTTATTTTTATTTTTATTTTTTATAATTTTTTTATGTGGGTTCTACAATAATTCTAGGTAGGGGTATTCTAAGGGCAACGAAAATTTGATCAAGAAATATGTCACCACCAAAGTGCAAATTTGGTGAGACCCACCTCACAATAACAAAAATAAATAAATAAATAAAATTAAAATGCACTTTATAAACATTTTGTTGTCACCAGACTTTCCCTTCTATCATTTTATTATTAAAAAATATTAATAATAAATAATCAAGTGTCTAAACCTATTCTGAATTGTGGATCTCACCACACAAATTAAATCTGAATCACACAATTTTTTCTATGTACAATTATGAGTCAATTCTAAGTACCTTGGATTATTGTTGTGAAATTTCAATTTCAAGAGCATGAAAGAATTGACGAGCATTTTTATTTATTTTGTTACGTTAATTTGTAATGAGATTGCACATTTTATAATTGATGTTACGAAATTTTGTGATAAAATTATGCCAATTTATGATAGGGTGCATAAAGTACGTAACTATAAGGGAGTGCACACCATAAGCTTTCCCGAATAAAGAAATGTACACTTGCTTGTTGAAAGTTTGCTCACGGTTCAGAAAAAACCATTACAAAACTCATTTGCAAAGCCACTAAAACACAAACTCCATGTATTTCCACAACAGAACAAGGTTGATCCTCAAATTTTCAGACAACAGTACACAGTCTTTTAACTTTTTTAAGAGCAGCGTCCTGAAAGCGTGAGTTCAAGTCACGGACAGTCTATAAATGGGAGGGTAAGAACGGCTATCAATTACTTACCCAAAAAAAAAAAACAAAGAACCGCTATCAAGCTGCATTCTTCAGCGGCATTTATTTGTAAGACGAAAAAAAAGAAAAATAGAATGTGAAGGTGATTTAATCACGCTTCCCAACCCCTTAATACAGTTGCCCGTGCAACACGATTCACTCCCAGCGTGAACGCACCCATTCGGAGGTTGCAATTGTGTGTCTGACACATGCTTTTGATGTTGCCGAAAGCTTTTGTCATGTACCTATGAAGCTCTTTGTTCACCTTCTCTTCGTCCCACATGAAACCTTGAATATTCTGCAAGAACAAAACTCATTGTGGCACATTACAATTGTTTCCGCTCGAAATCTGCTATCTACGCACTATTGTTGTTTTTACCTATAGTTTCCACAGACAAGATGCATAACTGACACCTAAGCAGCATAGACACTAACATGACACAACACTAATCGGACACTTTGCGACACGTGGATTGGTTAGAGACACATAAAACACATTACAAGTTTCAAAAAAAATAACTTGAAATTCAATGATAAAAGAAAAACTACGTAAATTTTATACTTATTTGATTTTTTATATATTATATTTTGTTATTATCTTTTAATAAAATATTTATATATATAACACATTTTTTCTTATCGACGTACAATAAATATAAAAAAAATTATATATTTTGAGCGTGTGAAATATATATGTGAGAAAATTTTCTTCTAAGTAATAAATAGTTTTGAAAAACATGAGAAAAATAAAGAGTCCTCCTGCATATAGTTTCACCAAGTTCACATTTAAGGAAGAATCAACTTGTTTTAGGGTCTACATCTTTCAATTGCAAATCAAATTCTAGGAAAAAAAAGTAGAGTGTGTAAGAATATTGATAGATCTTTTGGAGGCATATATTAGTTAATTAAAAAATAAAATTTAATTCACACAATTTCACATATTGCTCACCATGTTGGAAATTAGAAGGAATATCGAGTATTTTTGTTACCTGGACCCACTCAAAATAGCTGACCGTCACACCTCCAGAATTTGCATATATATCAGGTAGTATTATAACTCCTTTCTTAGATAGAATCTGCAGAAACAATGACTCAGTTTTTCAGATGATGAACATACGTCCCAAGCAGAAGAGAAGTTAAAAAGTTTAAAGTCAATGTCATACCTCATCTGCCTCTGGATCAGTAGGATGATTTGCCGCTTCTACAATGAACTTGGCCCTCACATTATCAGCGTTTTCTCTTCAAATGTGAATATCAAGAAGTCAAGAAAATCAGGATATTTTGCATAAGAAGAGTTCAAAATATATCCATTTTTAAAATCAACTTGAGCATCTAATGATCCACCACCCTGCTAGCAACTTCAAATAGCATCTCAACCAAACCGAAAATATGGATAAATAATTTAAGTCCAAAATGCAGCGACTGTAAGGTAATTTCTGGAGAGAACCTGGCATCTCAACATAGAATTTTGATACTAGATTTATACTTTAAAGGGCAATACCATGTTAGGAAGGATAGTGGGCACCGTATGACGAGATGGTGGGACTTGAGGCTAAACCATAAATATTTAATAATAGAATGGATAAAGAGGGTACTTGGGACCTGGAAGATAATGCTAACATTATGTGAAATTTGATAGCCAATTGTATGAGGAGAATCTCAAGAGAAATTCTTGGAGAGTCAAAAGGAAAAGGACCCAACTCTAGGGAAACTTGGTGCTGATGGGAGGAGGTTCAAACAGTAGTAAAGACAAAAAAAGAATACTTTAAAAAGTGGCAAAACGATAGAACTGAGAAAAACCTTAAAAGCTACAGATTGGCTAATAAGGAGGTCAAAAAAAATAGTGAGAGAGACTAAGTTGAAAGCCTCTGATGACCTATAAACTAGACTAGATAGTAAGGAGGAACAGAAGAGGATATACAAACCAACTAAGATAACAGAGAGGAAAACAAGAGACTTTGATTAAGTTAAGTGCATCAATAGTGAGGACTCTAAGGTGTTGGTGAAGGATGAAGAGATTAAGAAGAGGTGGAAGAACTATTTTGAGCAATTGTTAAATGAGGAATATGGAGGCAGGTCAAAAGGGGAGGAAATAGGCAGTAATAAGGAAAACCATGACTACATATTCTATCATAGGATTAGGAACTTTGAAGTGGAGATTGCATTTAAGAATATGAAATCGAATAAGGCTTTAGGACTCGATGATATCCCTATTGAAGCTTGAAAATATTTGGGTAAAAAAGGGGTGGCTTGGTTGACTAGGTTATTTAGCAAGATTTTGTTGACTAGGAAAATGCCGAAGGAGTGGAGGAAGAATATCTTAGTGCCAATCTATAAGAATAAAGGAGATGTCCAGAACTACAATAATTATAGAGGAATCAAGCTAATGTGTCATAAAATGAAGGTGTGAGAGAGAACGATGGAACGTCGATTGCAAGATATAACAAAGGTGTCAGAGAATCAATTTGGATTTATGCCTGGTAAGTCAACAATAGAAGGGATCTATCTTTTGAGGAGAGTAATAGAAAACTATAGAGAAAAGAAAAGAGACATTTATATAATTTTTATCGATCTAGAGAAAGCATATGACAGAGTTCCTCATGATATAATCTAAAGGGTGTTAGAGAAGAAATGTGTGACAAAATGTTACATTAATGTGATTAGGGATATGTATGAAGGTGTGGTGACCACTATTAGACCGCCAGCTGGAGAGACAAATGAATTTTCAATTACTGTAGGGTTACACCAAGAATCAACCTTAAGTCCTTATCTTTTTACTTTAGTTATGGATGAGTTGACGAGAAATATTTAAGATGATGTGCCATTGTATATATTTTTTGTAAATGATATCGTGTTAGTAGATGAGACTAGAGAATGAGTTAACACTAAGTTAGAGAGTTAGAGAGAAGCACTTGAATCTAAAGGATTTACCATAAGCAAAACTAAGACTAAGAACATGGAGTGCAATTTTAGTAACAGTAATAATAGAAGTAGAGGAGAATTGAAGATTAAGAACCAAGTACTACCTAAAAGTGAACATTTTCGTTATTTAAGATCGATTATCACAACAGATAAAGAGATTGGAGTAAATCCGATCCATAGAATTAAGGCGGGGTGGCTTAAGTAGAGGAGCGCGTCTGAGATACTGTCCGATAAACGAGTACCCGCTAGACTAAAAGGGAAGTCTTATAGAACGACTATTAGACCAGCAATGTTGTATGGGATGAAATGTTGGGCAATTAAGAAACAACATGTACATAAGATGAGTGTTGCTGATATGAAGATGCTAAAGTAAATGTGTGGCGAGATTAGAAAAAATAAAGTTAGGAATGAGTATATTCGAGAATGGATAGGAATAGTACCGATAGAAGATAAGTTGAGGGAGAATAGATTGAGATAGTTTGGTCATATACAACGGAGACCAACAAAGGCAGTAGTGAAGAGATGCGATACAGTGACGGTAGATGAAAATGTTAAGGAAATAGGAAGACTTAGATTGACATGGGCTAGTGTAATAAATAGAGATATGAATCTCCTTAATTTGACTAACGATATAGCCTTGAATCAAGTCGAATGGAGAAGAAGAATTTATGTAACCGACCCCATTTGTTGAGACTTAAGGCTTAGTTTAGTTTGGTTTGGTTTGGTTTGGTTTGGTTTGGTTTTTGATCAGCATCATTATATACTTACGATATGCCATCAACCTAACTCCTATCACAAACCCCAATATTAATTTTGATAGGATGATATTATGACGCCGGTTAAAATTTGATTTGTCATTTTGTGCCCTCGAACACTGCCATGCAACGGAGGGGGAGTGGTGTTCATGTGAGTGTTTAGAAGTGGGTTTTTATGTAGGTTTTTTTAGTTGTAAGATATTATTGGAGAAATTTTTTTTTGTGTTTGAAAAGATAGTTGGATTTTTTTGTAGTTGGATGTGATATTTATGAGAGAAAAAGTGAAATGATTATGAGGTTGGATGTTAATTTGACTAACGATATAGCCTTGAATCAAGTCGAATGGAGAAGAAGAATTTATGTAACCGACCCCATTTGTTGAGACTTAAGGCTTAGTTTAGTTTGGTTTGGTTTGGTTTTTGATCAGCATCATTATATACTTACGATATGCCATCAACCTAACTCCTATCACAAACCCCAATATTAATTTTGATAGGATGATATTATGACGCCGGTTAAAATTTGATTTGTCATTTTGTGCCCTCGAACATTGCCATGCAACGGAGAGGGAGTGGTGTTCATGTGAGTGTTTAGAAGTGGGTTTTTATGTAGGTTTTTTTAGTTGTAAGATATTATTGGAGAAATTTTTTTTTGTGTTTGGAAAGATAGTTGGATTTTTTTGTGGTTGGATGTGATATTTATGAAAGAAAAAGTGAAATGATTATGGGGTTAGATGTGATATTTTGTTTGGATGTGTTTTTTTTTATTTTGCAAAAAGTTTATCTTTTTGTAAAAAAAATCAAAAAAAAAACCCAAGTCCCAAACTTCCCAAACACCACCCATATTTGTGAGATGTACAAATCATTCACGATTATGTGTGCAATAGGCAATATGTTCACACAAAAGTATAAAGAAAGTCACAAGTTTCTAGGCAAAACAAGAGATAAACCTGTTGATAACTCCTCCCAAGGCACATGGAATCAGGACATCACATTTATGTAGGAGCAATTCATTTGGATGCATGGCATCTCCACCATCAAAATTTTTCAAGCTCCCCGTTGCTTCCTTATGATTAAGCAAAATTGGAATATCAATCCCGTTTGGGTTCTTAACTGCTCCGGTGATGTCACTCACTGCAATGACCTTACCACCTCTCTCATGAATAAGCCTTGCTGCCCAAGACCCCACATTGCCAAAACCCTGAAAAAGAATTTCTTTATTAATAACTTAGAAAAGAATTAGTTCTCACAATAAATTGACATTGAAGTATCAATGACAAAAGGGTCTTGTTAACGTGTGTCCTTGAGGCACATGATAAGAAAGCTTAAAAAGATTCTACATTTTTTAATGCAGAGACTTATACAAAATGCACAACCTTTTCAAACTTCTTAACATGTGCCTTAATTTAACAAAATCCATGACAAAAATACCTGTATGGCAAATGTCAAATCCTTGATTGATTTTCCATATTCAGCGAGTAAAGCTTCTGTGGCATAAATAACACCACGTCCAGTTGCAGCCTCCCTACCCAGGGACCCACCAAGATCCTAAAATGCAAAGTTAAAATTGTGAGGTTCATGTGAGAGTTTGATAGAAATTACTTTCTTTTTAACTAGATAAATATTAAATCTTATTTCAAAGCAAGAAACATGTCATTGGATTTTTGTCTTCAGTACTTACTATGGGCTTCCCGGTCACAACAGCTGGTGAATGACCATGAAACTTCGAGTATTCATCCAAAATCCAAGCCATGGTCTGTGCATTAGTCCCCATGTCCGGCGCAGGGACATCCCTATTAACCCCAATTAGATCATGAATTTTTTGAGTGAAGACCCGAGTGAGACGTTCCAATTCACTATTACTTAAATCCTTTGGCTTGCATCCAATTCCACCCTTAGCTCCACCATAAGGAATGTCTGCTACAGCAGTCTTCCATGTCATCAATTGAGCTAGAGCATTTACCTCATCAGGATCAACCTTGTAGAAAAAAATTAAGAAACATCTCAGCACAAAATTTAAATGAAGAAATCGTGTATTTTTACTTTTTTCATTTAGGATTAGTAAAAAGAAGTGAAGCTCCCAGAAATTTGGCACAAATATTCAGAAGATACTTGTACAATACCCATTAAACTAAAAAAACGGACTTTGAGGAATAACTGGCAACAAATTCCTTTGAAAAACTTTTATACTTGAAAAAAAAAAGAAAAAAAGAGAAGGTTCACATATACATTACTTAATAGTATTTCAGGATTGATTAGAAGAAATTTCTTGAAAGACCAATTATTAAGGCCTTATAGGAGATTTAGAAAGGAGTGCTTTGACTCGGAAGGAGAGGCATACACTTGAAACTAGAATAAAAAAGCCCCATCAATTCTTCAATAATACTCTTATGGTGCTATCTATACTGAATACTGATCAATTTGGTAAGAGCCCTATGTAGTGAACAGCTCAGTTGGGTCACTCGTTGTAAACACCTACAATTCAACGGTTCAAATAAAATAATCAAATAACTTAAAGCCTCTACTGCAGTTTAAATAAAATAATCAAACAACATATGACATGCCTTCAATCAATACTTAATTGCTTACTGACTCCAACATATGACAAGCCTTCAATCAAATAACTCTGATTTTCCTCTGACCATACAATTGTATGCATCTCAAATTCATTTTTATCACATAGTTTAGCTAAACCAAGCTAAGAACTAAAAAGTAAATACTAAAAACAATTTTGAAGACCATGAAATTCAAGATTATCATATTAGGATTCGTGTTCATAAGCGACCAGACAGAGATTTTACGTGCTGGCTGTCCGGCTGTCTAACACATAACCCTCCTCTTTTATCAGGGCTTGAAACCAGCTGTATAAAAACACGAAACACAACACTAATCATCCTCTTCGAAGCAAGGTTTGAATATCCCAATAAAATGAAATCATTCATCAAAACTGGCATGCATCTGAAGTGATTTTGATTTTCACTCTTATGTTTGCTCTATCACTTGTCAGTATAATTTCCCTTGACAGAGAAGAATGGATGGATTAAAATAAAATCGTTCTGTTTCTATAGACATCCAAACAAACCTTTAATTCAACCCAAACTAAATTACATCAACCAAGAATCTCAAGGACCTAAAACCCAAAATCAAAGCAAAAAAAAAAATCAATTTCAACCTAGAAGCAACAAAATCATCAAAAGAAGCACAAAAAACAGAAAAAATAAAACATTCACCTCAGGATGGTATCTGATCCCTCCTTTCATGGGGCCTCGAGAATTATCATGTTGGACTCTGAATCCAACGTAGGACACCAGAGTTCCATCATCCTTAGGAATTGTGCATTCTACCTGATCAAAACCCCAAAACCAACAAGATCAAAAATTTTCCACAATTCTCAAAAAAATAAAAACAACCCAAGAAACTAAAATTGCAGAACAATCTTAACCTTGATTTCTCTGAATGGAATCAACAGACTCTTCTCAATCCTAGAGTCCAATCCAAGAATGCGAGCCGCACGACGAAAGTTGCGGTTTGTGGCGGCAAGAGCGTTCATAGCCATGTAAAAATCACTGAAATGAACAATATCCAAAAACTAAAATGCATCAAACAATCCCAGAGACAATCAAAAGAAACCGTTACTGAGAGATTATAAAAATGGGATCAAAGAAAGAATTGAAGGTGAACCATATAGTTAGCTAGCTAGCTAGCTATACATATATATATATATATCATATAAATATGGAGAGAGAGAGAGAGAGAGAGAGAGAGGGGGGGATACTCGATGGGCGTGACTAGGATGGTTGGTGGTTGGATAATCGCAGAGGAGAGAGAGAGAGAGAGAGAGAGACGGCGTGAAACAGAGCAAGGGGAATTGAAAGGTCACTTGGCTAAGGAAATATCTGGAAATTGTATTTAGAAAAAATGATTGAAAAATGTTAGAGGTCTCAAATTTTCTACTAAAAATAAATGAGTAATGTCTTATATGGGTGTGGGGCCTACAAAATTACGGACCCCACATTCATGTAAGATATTTAATCATTTGTTTAGTAGAAAATTTAGTACCCCTAACATTATCCAAAATGATTTGTGAGCCTCAAAACCCATTGGCAAGGCAGAAATAACTTTAAAAAGGTGAATTTTGATCATTTTAAGCTTGCTTGTTTTTTTATTATTTTATTTTTGTCATTTATGTTTTAAATTTTTCTTACTTTTTTTTTTAAAATTATTTTTTTGTTAAAGATTAGACAAAAATAAAATATTGTCAGTTACATGACATAACAATATTTTGTTATATATGACTCACAGTTTTAATATAAACTTAAATTTTAATATAGTAATATATTTTTTATGTTATGTGACAGTTATTGTGACATTTTATGTCTAAGTTTGAAGAGAAGTTAGCTTTAGGAATAAAATAAAAAAAAACTTAAAATATGAAGAGTTAAAGTAAGAAAAAATAAAGTTGAAAAATGACCAAATATAAAAGTGATAAAGTGCAATTTATCTTTTTAAAAAAATTAATTATTCAAAAATTTATGAAGAGATGATTTTGATTTGGGTAAATTACAATGACTTCCTTCCGAGCCAAATAAGTCGAAATTAATATAAAAAGTGTGAAAATACAAAGATAAATAAAGGAAAATATATATTTTAGTATAAAAAATAAGGGCAAATTACATATACCCCTTCGAGGTTTAACAAAATTATAGATACCCCTGTGATTTGAAAAATTACAGATACCCCTTGAAGGTACTATTTACATAACAAATTAAGGAGCAAATTGTTATGAAAATATAAATTTCAGGGGGCAATTTGTTATGAAAATATAAATATCAGGGGGTATCTGTAATTTAACTAAACCTCGAGAGAGGTATATGTAATTTGTCCAAAAAATAATAAATAATAATATTATTTTTTCATTGATATATTTAGCCTCCGTTTGGCAAGGGCTTTTTCAGGCTTTTTTGGCTATTTCAGCCACAAAAAACAAAATAGGCTATTTTAGCCATAACAAACAAAACATCACATCCAACCTATAATCATTACATTCTTCTCTCACAAAAAAAGTCAAAAAAGCCAAAAAGCCAAAAAGCCAACCCACTTCCCAAACGGAGATTTTTTCGATATAGCTCCTTTGTGATAATCCCAGAATACGCCGAGAACGATCTCGGAGTATTTCGACACCTAATTAGTGGGAGCACTAATTAGTGCTCCCAAGCATTTTTCTTTACCCTTTTAATTTTTACTTTTCACTATCAAATGTTAGTGAAAATTTTTACCAAACAAGCCTTTCGTGGCCAATATTGGCAGCCAAGTTGGTTGGGATCAATATTCATGCCACAAATGAGTTTTTGAAATTAAGAGGTGTGAATTAGTAGTTAAAAGATCCATTTTTCAGACAACTTCAAATACCATGCTTAGAGCATCTCCAATGCACTAAGCATATAATACTTATTAGTTAAAATGCCTAGTGTGATTCACTTTTTTTAATTCCAATGCACTAGGCATATGATTAGGCATTTTGGCTCAACTCATATTCACTAGTTACATGTAGCAACCCATATTTCATAAAAAGTCAAAAAGTGCACTTATTTAGTCTTCCCAAACTAGGCCTTAGTAGTTAAAAGATCCATTTTTCAGACAACTTCAAATACCATGCTTAGAGCATCTCCAATGCACTAGGCATATAATACTTGTTAGTTAAAATGCCTAGTGTGATTCACTTTTTTCAATTCCAACGCACTAGGCATATGATTAGGCATTTTGCCTCAACTCATATTCACTAGCTACATGTAGCTAGCCTTCAACGCTAGGCAAAATGTATTCAATCATTAGGATCATTTCCCTCCATCTTTGTTGGATTCAACCGCATAGGCTATCCTGCATAATTAGAAGTTTAGGCTTATGTTTTTGTTCCCATTTATAAATATATCTTTAAAACAGTTGATAGGCAAAATAAAATATATACTTTATAGTAATATTTAGATAGGTAAAATGCCTACTACCGTTGGAGATGCTCTAAAACAGTTGATAGGCAAAATAAAATATATACTTTATAGTAATATTTAGATAGGTAAAATGCCTACTATCGTTGGAGATGCTCTTAATGGGTGGATTTCTGTGAAGTTTAAATATAAATTTGAGAAAATTTGAAAAGTTTGGAATTGTTTGGAAAGTTGTAGATTAGTATATTTTTTATTTTTTTACGAAAAAACGTGAAATATGAGTTGAGTTTGAAATAATATGATAGAGAGATAATATAATTCAAATAAGATAATGTACTAAAATAATATATGTTATTTTAACACATGTCAAACAAGCTCCTTGTAAACTCAACTACAGTCCGTTTGATACCCTAACACATGACATGAACTAGTTTAAATAATTAGATCAGAGGAACTTCCGAATGCTATTGTGAATAAAAATTTTAAAAAAAAAAAATCGGAAAAAAGAATATTTTTGTGAGTGTATAATATATAGTATTTGGTCTATTGATTAATTTGTTTTTGACTATAAGAACGTTAATTAATAAAATATATTGGTGAGAAGAGACGTACAAATTATTATTTTAAAATATTTTTTATATATTTTTCACTTTTATATTTTTGCTATTTGTATTTATTCTTTCAATAATGTTAGAGGGTCACAATTTTTGTGGCTTCAATGACTCAAAACTGTCAAAATGATATCGTTTTGGCATATTTTACACCCAAAATGATATCATTTTGACAATTTTAAACTGTTATGACCACAAAAATTGTGAAGCTCAAACATTTTCCATACCCTTTTTATTCTCGCACACACTACTATAAATTGTTGCCTATCACCGCCGACCTTCTCTAGCAACTAGCTAGAAAATTTGCTGACACTCAGCAGTAGACAAGTGGGCGTATGTACAGATAGGTAGACACACAAATAGATAAGTGGACAAACAAATAAAGGTAATACTCCCTCCGTTCTAAAATAATGATCCATTTTGGATAATTTAATTTTTTTTGGTAGTACAATTATTACATTTGAAAAAAGTTGATTTTCTAAAATTATCCTTTTGATAGTACATTTTTTGGGAATATCAATGCATAATTGTACTTTTTATGTTGTTTATTAATTTAAAAGAAGGGTAAAATAGGAAATTTATATTATTTTTGTACTTGATTTTTGAAGAGGGACTAATATTTTGGGACAATGAAAAATGGAATAAGGGACTAATATTTTGGGACGGAGGGAGTATGATATTTTAAACAACTCTGATTGGTAACTCGAAAATTCGTGGGTCGAATGGGTCGAAAGATCAAAACGACGTCGTTTTGATCTTTGTATTTTTTTTATTTTTTTTTTTCAGCAGAAGGAAGAAGAAGACGAGGGAAGGAAGAAGGAGGAGGGGGAGGAGGGGAGGGGAGTAGGGCTGAGCAAGGAATCCGTGAAATCCGTAATCCGATCCAGTCCAGTCCAATCCGATAGGTTTGGATTGGTTTTTTAAATCCGCGGTTCGGTTCCGGATTGAAGAATTAAAAATCCGTAGTCCACGGATTGGTTCCTTTGTATTTTTTTTTTTTTTTTTTTCCAGCAGAAGGAAGAAGAAGACGCGGGGAGGAGGAAGGAGGAGGAGGGGAGGGGAGAGGAGGAAGAGAAGGAGGGGAGGGGAGGGGGCCAACAAACTCGGGACTGAGGCAGGGGCGGAGGTGTGGCGGCGAGGCAGAGGCAGAGGCGGAGCTGCGGCGAGGACGGCGAGGCGACGAGGACGGCGAAGCGACGGAGCTGCGGCAAAGACGGCGAGGCGACGAGGACGGCGAGGCGACGAGGACGTCGGCAGAACCAGCACTCCGTCTCCCTCTCTTCTCCTTCTCCTCTCTTCTCTCCCTCTCTTCGAATTCGACCCAAATTTCGACCCACGAAATTCGAGCACCCACCCATTTTTCTATTTTAAATTGGAAAAAGATTGAGGCCTCGAATGTGGCTCGATTTGCTTTTTTTTTTTATTTTTTAACTGTGTTTGTTTTGTTGTTGTTTTTTTTTTATTATTATTTTTTTATTTGTTGAGTTGTGTTAATTTGGTTGTTTTTATTTATTTATTTATTGGGCCGTTGTAATTTTATTTGTTTATTTATTTATTTTTAAAGGATGGTTATGTGTAAGGGTGGGTTTAGAGTTTAGGATTTAAGGTTTAGGTTTTTATTTCTTCTGAGTCTTTCTTATTTGAAAAAAAAAATATAGTAAGAACTCGTACAAAACTATATGAAATTAACAAATTTTAACCAGCAGTCTAACTGATCAGTTAATTTTATCACCCAATCAATCTAACCCAATTGTTTTTTTTTTTTTTCTATTTGTTGGGCTATGTTGGTTTTTTTTTTTTAATTTCTTGGGCTGTGTTGATTTATTTATTTTTTTATTATGATTTAGGTTTTAGGATACACATAAAAACCTTTAAAAAAAAAAAAACAAAAACAAAAACAGAACCAAACTAACATAAAAAAAAAATAAAAAAAATAGACAAAACAACTTTTCGAGGCAAATTTGCGCCTCCAATTTCGAGGCCTTTAGAGCATCTCCAATGCAATACTCTCATTAAGAGGATGAAAATAATATTTTTTATTCAAAAAGTAAATATAGAGGAGGTTACTATTCATTCAAACTCCAACCATAAATTTTCATTTCCTTCATTCAAACTCTATTCAAAAAGTAATTTTTATTCATTAATAAATATTTAATTTTAAAATTTTTGTAAAATATATTTAATATTATACTCATTTTAAAGGTATGATTTTATACTTTTTAATGATGTCAATTTTATAAAAATTAAATTTATAAATTAAAAGTTATTAGTAAAATATAATAACAAATTTATAAATGAATAGTATTTTGGAGGATCCTCCATTTTTTCATCCTCCCTCCAAATATGGAGGATGAACTCATTTTCCTCCCAAATGGAGATGAATTTGAAGGGTGGGTTGGAGGAGCAAATCCTCTATATTTGAAGATATGGAGAATGGGTTGGAGATGCTCTTAGCACGATTCTTTTAAATTTTTGTTGTCTTTTTAGACAGAAAATAATAATTATAATCACTTTGTTTGGTTTTAATTAATTTTTTAAAAATTAATTTTTTTGTTTTATGTTTTTTTTTTTTTAATTTTTAGTAAATTTTTTTAATATTTTAAATAAATTTTTTATTTTCTAAATACACATAACATAGATGTATTTAAAAAATAAAATATTTTAAAACTTCAATAAATACATAAAAATACGAAAACATACTAAATTTTTATATATATATTTTTTGTATTTGATAAATTTTTTAAATATTTTTTTCATAAATATTATGCGTAGAGTCATTTCCTTGAACAAGATAACTGAGATAGTTAATTCTCCACATTGGATGATTTTCCTTATAGTTTATTCTCACACTACATAGTTTATTAGGTATTTTAAATTATGAATGAAATTTTATCAAAAATTTTTCAAAAATAAATTTTTTTTGATTAACCAAATTAAGAAAAAATGTTATTTTTGAATGGACAGCAAAAGATGTTATTTTAATTAAACAAATTAAAGAAAATATTGAAACTTTACCAGTTGTTTATCTTCCTAAAACATGTGATAAATTAATTTTAGAGACAGATGCCTCAGAAGTATGCTGGGGATGTGTTCTTAAAACAATACCAAGTAAATTATGGCATGATAAAAAGATCCTTTTATCGAAAAATGGGATTAGACCAAGAAAAAAATCTAATACCCATAAAATTACAAAAAGAAGAACTAATTTGTGCGTATAATTCTGGAATATTTAAACCAAATGAACAAAAATATATTATTTTTGAAAAATAATTATTTGCAATAAAATTGACAATAAAAAATTTTCATATTTATTTAGTTTCAGAAAATTTTATTATACGCACTGATAATAAAGCAGTAAGAAATTTCTTGAGCAATAAAAAATCTATTGAGTAAGGAAAAAGATTAGCCTGGTATAATAAAATTTCTGAATATACTTTTGAGGTAGAACATCTTAAAGATACTAACAATTTTCTTGCAGATTTTTTTAGTAGGAATTTTTTCAGAAAATTAAATTACTAAACAAGTAATTTCAATTTTTCCAGAAGACCTCTAGACCAAAAGAAAAAAATGAACAAGGGCAAGCAACCCGCTCAAGGAAATTGTGTGACAATTGCTAAAAAAAAATCTCCAGACAAGAAAAAGTTTATATTGTGTTTGCAAGAAAACAACTTGGAATTTACATAGAATAAAATGAGTGCAATAAGCAAGTTTGCGGATTTTCAAGAACAAGTTTTAAATCCTATGATAGCATTACAGTGCATCAGTTATGCCTATTTATCAAAATAATTTTTGTCAAATGAGAACTAACACAGTTCCAATTAATATTCAAACATCTAAATCAGATAAATCTGAAATAAAAGATTTTTTCAACCCTGATATATCTAAAGAAATTTATACAGAACTCAATGGAGTTTGGAAAACTCACATTGTAGACAATAAAGTGAAATTTCAAAAATATATGAGAATTCTAACTAACAAATTAACTAAGTAAACAGCTAAATTAAAAAATTTACAAAATTTTTGTTTCAATATTCTTGAAGTTTCTTAAAAGACGTGACTTGAAATCACGTTTAACAAATTTTTTTTTTTAAATAATTATTTTATTACTAGAAAAAATTTGTTAGTACTAAAGTTTTTCTAAAAAACTTTCACGTTTTTAATTTAATTACAAAGAGTGGTTGCTAATCTATTTTTCTAAACAAAAAATGTGTTCACAAATAGAGTTTCAGTCATTTATACCACCAAAAAAAAAAAAAAAAAAAAAAAAAAAAAAAAAAGAAAAAGAAAAAAAAAAGAAGAAGAAGAAGAAAAAAAGTGCCCTTTCTATCAAAGTATAAAAAAAACTTTCTGGTTAAAAACTTTTTTTTACTAACAGAGTTTATTAAAAAAAACTTTATTATTAACAGAGTTTTTCAAAATACATTTTTCAAAAAAAAAGTAACTAATATTTTTATGAACAAAAAATATAGATTACAATAAAAATTTTGTTAATAACAAAGTTTTTATTAAAAAAAATTCCGCTACATATATGCTTGTAAATATACATTACAATGATCATATTATTTTATAGAAATATTATTCGAGTTTTATTTTCACTCACAGGTTCAAAAAAAACAACAATGATTTATCCCCCTTTTCCCCCCACTCCCTTTGACCCCCTATCTTTCTCATTGGTTACTTTTTCTTTTTCTTTTTTCTTTTTTTTCCTGCTCCTCCAATCACCACCCGCCACGTGACAAAGGGGGGGTGAGGGGGTGACCCCCAAAAGGGGGTCCCAAGCATTATTCCAAAAAAGGGTGATCGACCCAATTTTTGCTCAAATCAAAACTAGAATAGATGATTTTTTGATAACTTACTCTAAGATTTTGTTGACCCAATTTAGTTTTTTTGAAAATAATATAAACTCTATTAATAAGAAAGTTTTTAATATGTATTGTGAATTTTTTTTTTTTTTTAGCTAGAAGTAGTTTTTAATGGTTATTTTTGAAAAAGGGTGAGAAGAGAAAAATGTATTTTGAAAAACTCTTTTACTCTTTTACTAGTAAATTTTTTTTAATAAACTCCATTACTAACAAAGTTTTTAGCAAGCTTTCCTTTTAAAAACTTTGATACGAAGTGTGTTTGTTCGTAAAAATAACTGAAACTCTATTTTCAAACATATTTTTATTTAGAAAACATATTTTGGCAATTGGGTTGGGTTTAGTTTGGGACTAAAAAAGTATCAAAATAAAATAAAATAAACTAAATAAGTTAATAAGACAAAATGTCATATTCAAATCATAATCATTTTACTTTTTCTTTCATAAAAAAATAAAAAAACCAAAAAATTCTTTCCACAAAAAACCGAAAAATTAAGCTAAAAAAGTTATTCACAAATGAACCCTAACAATACCTCTTTGTAATTAAATTAAAAACATAACTACTATTAAAGTTTTTTTAGTAACAAAGTTTTTCTAATAATCAAATATTGTTATTTTTATGCCGGAAAAAGTTGAAAAACCTGATTGAGGATCTGGTTTTTTAAAAAAAATTAATACCATTCACGTTTTACGCTAGTATGAAAATAAATTAAAAAATTACTCTATTTGGGGAATTAACTATCTCATTTATCCTGTTTAGGAAAATGCGTTACTTTTTAAGTGTATTTAAATTAGGTGTATCTAAAAAATAGTTTTTTCTTAAATATTAATTTTTTTTTACTAAAAACAAAAAAATATGGAAAACAAAAAAAATTCTCCTTTTGGTTTGGTTTTGAAATATAAGTTTTTGAAAATAATTTTCAAAATTTAAAAATTTATTTGGTTGTATATTTTGAAATAGTTTTGTAATTGGAGTTTTGTAGTTTAGAATTTTGTATTTTGAGATGATTTGTATTTCTTGTAATTGAATAGATAAGTATGAGAGAAAAAGTAATTGATTGATGTGTAGTATTTAAGAGAAGCAGAGAGGAGATAAAAAAAAATGTGATTGAAAATAATTTTGAGAAAATTGTAAACCAAACAAAATTTGTGTTTTGAGCTTTCAAAAAGTGATTTGAAAATTAAACTAAACACAATCTCAATTTTCTCACAATCTCAATTTTCTGAAACCAAACAATGTAAATAATAGTTAGGTTAGGATAATTACCCCCAAAATTTTCAAATTTAAATTTAGAGCCCAAATACCGTAAAAAAATTCTGGTCAAAATGTACAGTATTTAAGTGTATAAATGTATAACCATGATTGAGGCTACATTTCTTGAAATGATATCTAAAAAAAAAAAAGACACATTTGAAAGTGGTTGGGAGGGGATCTACACGGTCAAAAGAGATATATTTTTATAATTGAATGGATTAATATGTAGAAATTTATAGATGAGATGAGATGAGATGAGATGGGTTAACAAATATTCGATAATAGTTTAGAGGATGTTGGTGCCTTAAAATTAAAATACAAAAAAAAAAAAAATGTACAAAATGTACACAGTGGTTTACATTTATACTGTGTTTGGTTGAGAGATTTGAGAAATGATTTAGAAAGGGAAAGGGAAAATGTGTGTGAAACTATGTGAAATATAAGCATGTTTTATTCACATTTCATCTACCTTTTTTATTTCCCTTTCCAAATCCCTCTCCAAATCTCTCAACCAAAAACAACATTAGAGTTAGGTTTCTTTCATATTCATATCTCATCAGGAGAGAACTTAAGAGGGCCATAAGATCCATCATAAGTCTCATTTTGATGATTCAAATCGTTTATTTTGTAGGGCACTCAAGGTATATTATTCATGAAAAAAATTATATTAATTCGATAATCATAACATTTTTATTTTATCATGTTTGTCTTTAAAAAATGAATTGTTCATTTTCAAAAATGTATTTGTCGTTTATTTTTTTAAAATAAACACAATAAAATAAATATTAAAAATGTACAAATAAAAATGTATTCCATAATAAAAATACATTTTTATTATGGATGATACATATTTATGGTTTTACAAATGAACGGTTTGGATCATTAAAACAGAACCTATGAGAGGCTCTACGGATCCCTTAAATTCTCTCATATTGAGATATAAATATAAGAGAAATCAAACCCTTAAATTTATAATACACTAAAGATAAATTTAAGCTACACATTATGCTTTTTATGTATTTTTAATATTTTAGTTTTATGCAATTATCATTTCCCTTTTACCTTGAAATGTTATATCAAGTCTTAAGCAAAATGAATGCCTCTATCGTTTTCTTGTATACAGAGGTGTAATTTGAAGAAAGAAGTCGCATTCAAATTCAAAGGACATCCAAACACACCCTTAATATCAAGTATTGGGCAAAATGAATGGCTATGGTTTTCTTGTATGCATTTGCGGCACAACATGTGATTAGCAAAGTACTCAAATACTTGGGTAATAGCAAGGATCTTCTGTTTCCAAAAAAATTGTTCACTTGTTCTAAATCACTTACAACTATTAAATTATTTTAAAATTTAAAAATTTTAAAATATATTCAATTATGAGTGATTTGGGACATGACGAGAAATTTTTAGAGACGTGAGATCCTTGGGCCTTGGGTAAGAGCATCTCCAGCAGCTTGGCTATTCTTTCCTTTTAGCCATAGAAGCGAGCTTGGAAGGGTAAAACATTGCTCCAGCAGACTCGCTCAAAGATCGCTACAATGGTGGTGAGCTACAGTACCTCGCCAGGACAAGCGAGGTACTGTTCATGCACCTTTTAATTTTTTATTTATTTTTGGCTCCTGAACTTTGTTTTTGGCGGTAAAATTAATGCCATTCTGTTATTAGTATAATTTTGATAGATAACAGAAAATATTGATCAATCTTTAATGGGTTCAGAAAATATTGATGAAACAGAGAAGAAAATTTATACAGGCTATTTTCTTTCTTTGTTTCTGGCTAATAGTAAAAAGTATTCATGAAAAATCAAAGATTATATCTTGCATATATTTGAAATTGTTGAATTTGGTTTAGTATTTGATGTTTCTTCGGATTTGGATAAAATAGAACACAATTTAATGCTGTTGCACAATGGCCTGTCAACTGTTTGATAAAATGCTTATAAGAAACTTAGGCTACTAGAATGAAGTGAGTGATACTACATAACTGTTGATTAGTGGGTTCAAAGATTGATTTGAAATAGCTAACCTTTCTATGTCGCGACATGTAACTGGACCAATGCATTACTGGTTAATCGATTTTGTTGCTTCTGGTGTTCTAAACGTTAATGTCATGGAGACAATTTCGAATATATGATGGCTTTGTGGTTGCTAGTATTTTATATCTGTTGTAGGCGTTGAATCGATTTGTTGCTAGAACATTAGAAGAAAAGGAAAAAAAGAGAAAAAATAGTGTTATAGTTCATATTTAGATGAACTGATCTCATACTAGAACCTATTCCAATTTCAGTTGACATCAATATCTGTTGTTGTTTTTCTTTTTCTTTTCTTTAAAGGAAATTAGTTTTGTGTTTGGTCACATTGGTGCAATATATTCCTGAACAGGTGAATATATGGGTTCAGAGATTGAAATTGTTGAGGAGAGATTGAAGTCTTTCCTTGGTCAACTCCAAACAGAATGTGGCATCCATGATAGAAGTTTCCTTGGATCATTTGGGTTCTGTGACATATAAGGTTAATGATCAATTGGATGAAAAGGTTGATGAAGTTTCTGGAACAGAGTTTTGGGTATCTTGTATTGAATAGGTATTCTCGTAATTCCTCATTATTTAGTGACTGATTCAAAGTTTTTTTTTTTGGTTAGAAGAAATATTTTTCAAAGAAATTTATGTCTGAGAGTTGGTGAAAGTCAAAGAATATGGCCACCATTATACTGCAGATCCTATTTATCTACTTTAAATCTCATATAAACTGAGCAAACACTAGGATCAAACTTTTAATTGAGCTTGGAATGATGAATCTTTAGATACAGTACCCATGAATTTAAAATTTGAAAGACAATATCTCATGTTTTGCCTCTATGATGTCAGATAGGATAATTGAAATTTCCCAACTTCACAAGAACCATCATAGACTTAGATACAATACGTAATATGCTTATTGCCCTTGGCACAAATAAAGGATTTTTTTAAATGCGTTGTCCATGTATTTTCGTCTGTAATTAATTTTTATTTAGTATGTTTCAACATTGTTATAAATGTTTGACTCTTCAGGTTGTCATCACAAAATGCTACCATTCAACCTTGTGCAAATTGGGCTGGATTTGCGGGTCCTAGTTTTAGGTTATTGATTTCACATAGTTTGTCAAGTTTAGTGTAATTATGTAGTTTGAAATTTTCATTGACTGTTGAGCAACTGGATTATTTCCATTTATTATTTGTAGTTTTTTTTTCTAAATTAGTCCAGTGCTAGTCCATGGAAGTAGGGTCATCATGTCAGTGAGGGTTTGAATTGTCTCAAATTTGGAACGTAGTTTGAATTTTTAGATCACCATGCTTTTTGGTACATAGATTCTGGAACATATCATTGTATTATTTTGGTTGCTTTATAATAGTATCTTGTAAAATGATTATGCAGGTCTAACTAATAATCCATTTGTATATATGCCTTTTAAATTCATTTGGTGTTGATTGGGACAATGTCTCGTGGACAATTTTGGTGACATACCTATTGTTCTCACTTATTTATATATATATAAGGCATATAATTAAAGTGAAAACCATATAATTAAAAGGCATATAGAATTAAAATGATAATCATATAATTAAAAGGCATATAGAATTATAAAATTACGCATAAATTAAAAGCATATACTGATTACATTCAAAACTAATAGCATACTACATAAAATGAAACTTCAAATTCAAAACTTTTACAACTCACTATGTAATTGCCACAAGTGTTCGACAAGGTCCGATTGGAGATGAGAATGTGTTTGCCTGTCTCTAATGTTATGATGACACTGAATGAATGCCATAAGTTCAGTAGTTCTCTCCTGTAACACTGTTACATGGGGACTGTCATCGATTTGATCATAATTGAAGTCTTTTACTCCATTGTCATCCCGCTCATCCTCAATGATCATATTATGTAGAATTATGCACGCCTTCATAATATATTTAAGCATTTTAGTATTCCAAAAACGTGCCAGTCGATGCACAATTGCAAATCGTGCTTGAAGCACTCCAAATGCACGTTCTACATCTTTTCTTGTCGCCTCTTGAGCTGCAGCAAAAAGTTTTTTCTTATTTCCTTGAGGAGAAGGAATTGTTTTCACAAATGTTGACCATTGTGGATATATACCATTGGCGAGATAGTATCCCATCGTATATTCATTACCATTGATGGTGTAATTGATTGCAGGAGCACGTCCTTGAGCAAGTTCGGTAAATACAAAAGACCTTTCTAGCACGTTGATATCATTATGAGACCCAGGTAATCCAAAAAATGCATGCCAAATCTAAAGATCATATGATGCAATAGCTTCCAAAATAATTATTGGTTCATGAATGTGACCAGTATACATACCTTTCAACGCAGTCGCACAATTTTTCCATTTTCAATGCATACAATCAATGCTCCCCAGCATTCCAGGAAATCCACGACTTTCACCAACCGCTAGTAGTTTAGCGATGTCATTGTTGTTTGTGACCTCAAATACTCATTAGAAAAAATATCAACAATCGCTTTAACAAAATATTTTAAGCTTTCTATTGCAGTGCTTTCTCCAATTCTCACATATTCATCTATAAAATCAGCGGCTACTCCATAAGCAAGCATCCTAAGTGCAACAGTTATCTTCTGAAGAGAAGACAAACCAAGCTTTCCAGCACAATTTCTTTTTTGGAGAAAGTATCGATCGTGCGCTTCTACTACAACTTGAATTCGAAGAAAAAGTGAACGCTTCATCCGAAACCTCCTTCGAAATAACTCAGGAGGATATACCGGTGATTCAGCAAAATAGTCGAGAAAAAGCCTTTCATGACCTTGAATATGATCACGATGAATGACTTTACGACCTCGAACAAAACCACGACGTGAGCTTGATCCTATCTCACTATCTAGTAGTTCTTCATCCATAGTAACAGCTTTGAGCATCTCCAAATCATCATTAGATTCAGATAAGTCAGAGTCATTTACAAGCATATCATAAAGAGAATTGGAAGCCATAGAGAGAGATATGGAAGTTTGGATGAAGTAGAAAATTGAGTTAAGGGTAAGATCAAATGATAGGGAATGTCTTATTTATAATGGAAAAGTATAAAAATATGATCGTCGCAAAAATATGACCGTTGCAAAAATATGACCGTTGTAAAAATTTGAAAAAATATGACCGTTGGAAAAACATGACCGTTGTAAAAATTTGAAAAAATATGACCGTTACAAAAATATGACCGTTGAAAAAATATGACCATTTGAAAAATACGATAGTAGAAAAATGTAACTTTCACAAAAATATAATTATATTTAGAAGAATGAAAAAAATAATAATTTGAATGAAGTTAGTTTTTTTTTTTTTAGATTGAAAAGAATGTAGTTAAAGTATAAGAATATTTTAATAGAAGATAGCTAAAGTGGATAGCCTTGTTGGAGTGTATATTAAAAAAATGACAAGCTAAAATAGTAAAGTGAAATTTTGAATAGTTATTTTAACTAGCCTTGCTGGAGATGCTCTAAGCACACACCTTAACTAATCAATACGGAAATCCATACGTTACCTTCCACCCAATCCCTATCGGAGCATACACCCACATCATCACCATTAGATTTTTCAGTCTTCACCAATAGGAGGCACACCTCTTCCAGATTTCTAGTCACAAAAATCTAAAAGTTTTTTCTTTTTTTTTTTTTGGTGATAAGTCCATTTTTAAGGAAATGTGAAATTAAGAATAAATTTTTTTTGATAAATTCATAATTAATGAAATTGTTTGGTGTGCATGATAAATTATTGTTTAAAAAAAAATTATTTATTTTTAACTCACTGCCATCAGGCTATCACTAGATTATCATCGATCAGTCACCAGAAAATAGCCAGAAAAGTCATCGAAGGTGGTAGATGACACGTGAACATATAGGTAGATGATGTTGGAGATAATTTCAGCAAATAATTAATTTAAGCAAATAATAAATAGTAAAAAATAACAAAATTAAACCTTATAGTACTTCTGCAGATTGTTTATGAACAAAATTGTCATTGAGGCCAATGCTTGAACACTGTATTTTTAAGATAGAATTCCGTCCTCTCTAGTGGTGCTTGAGAACAATGAACGTTATGTCTCCATGGTACAACAATTACCACAAACGAAGAGAGCACACTCTTTAATTGTACAATGAACCAAAAATATGTATTATACTCACAAAATTCAAACTTACGCAGATGAAGAATAGAAGAAGAATGCTTGAACTTGAGGAATTTGGAATGAATAAAACTGAAATGGGGGCTACCTTTATATAGGCTTGTTGACACCTGTTCAGTTTGAACAAAAAAAGCACGAAGAAGGGACATGACCCTTGGGTCACACACTTTAAAATGAAAAAACACCATGAAAGGTTGCATCCTTTCATTCGAATGGAGTCCATTTCCATTCACTTTTAAATTTTTTTCAATAATTCCCCACATGAATGAAATTGACGAAACGAGAAATGCAACAATATGCAGACTATGTGAGTACAAACCTGGAAATATGCTGCATAGCTTTTGGCCTTGAACCTTTCCTTGTAAAAAACTATCAAATTTGTTGGCTAATCAGTGAATATAATGTCTTGAATTGTTTTTCCGTTAATGTAAACTGAGACAATAACCTGTCACACAGTTTTATTTCCATAGACAACTTGGTTCTATGGGTTGTGTCCATTTTGGCCCAGGACAATTCTTGATTTTCATGAGTGCTCTAGAGAATTCAGCCTTATCTATTCTCAAAGAAGTGGTCCCTTTACACTCATATAGATGATCCTTTTTTTGAGTCTCGTAAACACTCCTCTTGAAAGATATCTCACTAGATTTTTCTAGATATAAGTAATCATTAAAAACATAACTTACCCTAACTCCCTTGCATACAACACATGTTGTAGATATCACTCTCATCATAGGAATGAATAGGAGATATACTCACTTAGTGATTTTTTGTGAGTCATCCATAATTCGGTTGACCTTTTGAACCTAGATTTTGAGATTTCCAGTCAGCTAGGTTAGGTTACCATTATGGCAATTCAGAATTAATAGGCTTTAATCACATTCCCCTCGATGAACTTTTCCTTATTTACTCTCTAGTCAAACCCTTTGTTAGCAACCACTATTTTTAGTTTGACAATATTTGCACTGAGAGTAAATATCCTACGGTATTAAGTCTTTGATTATATTGAGAGTTACCATTATTCTATGTCATTCCCATACTTAAAATTAATTAAGAGACATAGAGATGTTCCTAGGATTTAACAAAGTCATTTTTGTTTCTCCTCCAGCTTTGTCTTAAACAAAGAATTGAGATCCTTTATAGACCTATTATCGGAACCGTTACTTTAATAAAATTCTTCAAACACCCCCACATTTTAAGTATTCTAAGAAAAAATAATTTTCCTTAATATACCTCCACAATTTTGATATAATATAGAATACAACATTCATCGCTTGTTGATTATCGTGTGCTTTACTAACAAAATTCTGAAAAAATAAATAAATAAATAAATTATGAATAAAAACAATTAAAAAAAATCAAAATAATTATGACTATACAAGTCGCAAATTCACGAGTTGACAAAATCATGGCCTCATAAAGATTCTGCTCAAGAACCAAACAATTCAAAAAACCTCATTTGAATGCATTCAAGAAAAAGTTTTTGTACAATGCATTCAAATAAAAGTACTTATACCTCCAAATTAAGATTCAAACTTTTAAATTTGAGTTTCTGCGGATAATTTGTTATGAATCGTGATTACCGAACAATTATGCTTTTCTTCCTCACATTTGTGGTAATACATAAATTAGCACAAAACATGACTCATTTTCAGATACGTGTCATGGTCACAACTAATAATTCATTTTTGATAAATTTATCAAGATATTAGTGACAAAAGAAAATCTCTTCAAATTCAAGAGATAAACTCCCACACTTAGATCATAGTTTATGGTTAAACCAATTCTACCACACAAGGTTCATAATTATGACTTGACCAACTATGTCAAAAAACTCAAAAATCACTTCCAATTAAATGAAACAACACTGCTATTTAAACCATCATGTTTAAACTTCTTTGGTGTCAATTTGACAGTGCAAAGATACTATAACCATATCAAATTGAAATATTATTTACACATGAAATATATTCTCACAAAACCTATATATATATATGTTGGATCCATCTTCTGTGTAAATAAAATAACTAGAAATAAATTCAAACAAAATAAATAAATAACATACCGGGTTTATTTTGTCGAACCAAATAAAATTACAAGACCAAGTCGAGTGTGTGACACTCTGTCCTTAAGACAGATTCGCCCCGCTATGGTAACTTCTTTGGTGTCAATTTGACAGTGCAAAGATACTATAACCATATCAAATTGAAATATTATTTACACATGAAATATATTCTCACAAAACCTATATATATATATATATATATTTCTTAACAAAATCATTAGTGGTTCCACCTATATCACAAATAGTAAATACCATCAATTTGGGAAAATCCTCATGTCAACATACATATGCCCATGTGATTGTCAAACGTTATTATACTTTTCACAAACGATTTAGTGAATAATCTCTAATTACAATATATTATAATATAAGATTTTTTTTCAATGATATAGAAAAGATAAATCTAGTCTTAACATGAAAAATTCAAATATGAATATTACAAAAATAACATTTTATTTTGTGCAATAATTTATTCTGATTAAACCAAAAATAAATAAAACATCCAATGAATAAACCATACGGAGAACAAAAATAAAAATAGAATTCAATTACAGATACATAGTAAAACCAAATCCGTTTGAAAACTCAAAAGAGACATGGTGATTATCAACACAGAATTGGAAAAGCAATGATATCAAATGAATAAATAGGATTAATTCAAACATATTGTATCATTGCCTTTTATTAACTAAAGATGTGTCAATAATCATACACCCACTTTACCGATAAGTCAATGCTTTTACTAAACAAACTTGAAAAGTTGCACCTTTTCATAAAAATGATATCACTTAAAAGAAATAATGTTAAATAATTGTAAAACAAAACACTTCTCAAGATAAATAGGCAATGATATGTACAAAAACGAGATGTGTAAAAGATAAATAAAAATCTGAAACAAACCAGATCTGTCTAGATTGAAACAAAAATTAAAATCGTATTCTAAAATCACAAAATTGAAATCTATAAATATTAGATTGTGAATTATGTTTCAAACAAATGAATTTTTGCTCGTCTAAGAGCATCTCCAACCCTGAACCAAAATTTTCATCAAATCTGAGTAAAAAAATGACTTTTTCCTCAATCTGATACCGAGTGCTCCAACGGTTGATTTTCATCAAATTTTCGTCAAATCTGTACCGGGATAACCGGTTGGTCGACCGGCCGGTCGACCAAGTTAAAAATATATATATATGTTTTTTTGATTTTTTTTTGAACTGTTTGAACCTTTTAGTGGTCGACCGGTTGGTAGACCGGCCGGTCAACTGGCTGGTCGATCGATAAGGCAAAAAAATTTTTTTTTTTTTCAACTGTTTGAACTTTTTTTGGAACTGTTTAAACCTTTTGGTGGTCGACCGGTTGGTCTCCCTCAACGGTCATGCACAGTGTTTTGGTGACATGTGGAGCCTGTCCTCCTTTTGGTGAAACGTTTGGTGAATTCTCGATTTGATATCAATTTGGTAAAACCGTTGGAGCTCCAAACAGTGCTTTTTTCACCAAATTTCAAATTTGATGGTAGGTTTGGTGAAGGGTTGGAGATGGTCTAATGCATCAGAAATCTGATAACTCTACTGGCTCTACTGATTCTACAGCAGCAAAGGCCAAGTCTCAGTCTACCAAGGCTGCTGCTGAGGCTACTAACAAGGTTGCTGCTGAGGCTAGTTCTGCAGATAGATAGACTAGTTCTGCAGACAGATATAAACATAGGTTTTCAACTATTCTTGCAAGTGCATCACAAGTCCATAGAGCTGCTG